ATATGGTAATTTCTACAGTTTGCTACTGTTTTAAATATATACTCTAAAGAATTTAATAACCTTGTGGCCTACCATTAGAGTCCTTTCCCTTCTTTTTATTAAAAATAATTACCTCATTTTGCCAAGACAATGACATGGAAATTATTTACAAAAAAAAATAAGTGCTCAACAATACCCTACCTTTGTTTCCCCAATAAAGATGTAGCATTTATTCTAAATATACACTTTTTAAGTTTTTTACTTTTCCTTCCTTATATAAAAATTTCATTATAACCATCAATAATTTATATCACAAATAAATAACATCATTTTGCCCTATAATATGTCAAAACTTTAGGAGATATCTAGTTTTCTTGCAAGGGGATATTTAGTTTTCTTGAGTTTCCTCAAATTACTGCTTAAGGGTTGTAAGCAATAGAAAACACTCCTTGTATTTTTAATGGAGGAGATAAAATTAAATTATTTATGCTAACAAAATTCTTCAAATTTTTAGTTAAATTTAAATCATTTTTATATGAAATAGAACGTATCTTGGGTATATTAACTATTCTTAGTTATTTTGATTCTTAGAATATAGAGTAATCACAAAGTTTATAAGATTAGAGTTCAGGGTAAATAAAACTATGATTTGATTTAATGACCATTTAAAAGCTGTAAAAGACTTGCTTTTGTCATCACTTAATGCACAAATAAAGAATACCACACAGTATATTAAATATCAATGAATGTTTATTTTTGTCAATGAGATTGAAATTATTGTGAAGCATTTCATATTAACTCAACGTTGGCATTAGTGCCTTTGTAGAGTATATAACAATCTTCTCACATTGGCTAATCTTATTCAAAAAGCTTTTCAAAAATACAATACAAAACTGAAGGTCTTTCAGAAAATTACTAAAGAGCTCATTAAGATGGTTGTGCTTTGTGTCAGAAAAGAAGAAAGCTAAGAAAGGAAGCTCTGACTATTAATGCAAAATTGAACAGGGAAACCTTCAACTCACCACTTTTCCCCCTGCTGTTCTCCCTCCCCATCCATCCCCTAAAAAAATCACCAGGCATAAAGAAAAATATCTAATGTTGGGAGAGTTTATGTACGATGACCTGTTCTCAGTATCCTCATAAAAATCATTTATATATCAATTTATCATATTCAATCGTAGCACCACATATGTATATCATCAAGCATTTTTACTAATGAGGTCTAAGTGATTTGAATTTAGGCATGACTTTTAAACTGCCATATATAATTTAAAAGTAACTCTCTAGAAGTTTTCAAAGTCTACACATGATTGCTATACTGGAAACAGCGCTGATGTGAAATTAGGACATCAGGGCTCTGCTTTAGACCTTGCCATCAGCAAACTGTGTCACTTTGACCAGCACATTCTCTGCTTCTCAATTGACTCACATCTGTGAATTTAAGGTATTGTGCTGAAATATTTGTATGATACCCTTTGCTCCCCTTTAACTCTACAACTCTAATCTTTCATATTCTAATTAAATCACCTACTGGCAAATCTTATAAGATTGAAAACACACCTCTAAAATGCAAAGGTCCTTCAGAAATACAGAGTGAAATGAGAAGTAGCCATTCATAAATAACTAAGAAGAAATCCTGAGTCGTGTTGCTGATCACCTATTGAGATTTTTTTACATATAATATAACGTAGCATAATGTAACATAATGTAACATAACACACACAGAGGGACACATATTTATATATATAGATAGATGCATGTATCTCAGCCAGGTAACTCTAACCTAAGGAAGATACCAGAATGTATCAGATGCATATAAAAAGATTCCAAAATTGCTTTTATCTTTTATGATTTTTGTGTCATAGAATTAAAGGGGTTTTATATATAATTGATATATTGGTTGACAATCAAGAATTGCATGATATTCAGCTTCCTGTTAAGAGTTAACAAATACAAAAATTCCATTACCTTTCCTATGCTGATATCTGGCTGCAGAAAGCGAAGGCAGTCTGAATAATTGGCCCATGTTTTGTTTAAGCTGTGCATAAAATCCCATGTTCCATTGGGGTTACAGTGTCGGAAGGCAACTCCTGTAAAGACATGAACGACGCTGAGATTACTCAGTTCCCTTAGGATCTATTACAGTGTTTTTGTTTCAAATTAATCACTTCAGAAAAATTAAATACCTTTATGATTGAAGTCATAAATATAAGGAGGGCATGGGACAGCTGATATTTTCCCCACTGTTCCTCTGGGCCAACAAATGAGTCCATCCCATTCTGGGAAACAATTTCCTTCTAATGAGAAAAAAAAAATTAAAAAGCAAATAAAGAATAATGTAGTTGGAGCCAGAGAACAAATGCATTCAAAATACAAAATTTCAGGTCACTGCCTGTGGCAAAATGTAAAACAAATTGGTAGTTTTGGAAACTAGAATGAGGTAGATACAATACAAATGTCCCAAAACTCATCTGCCCAGCTCAGCAAAGACCCATTAATAAAAGCATTTGATTTGCATAAATTAAAAACTTTCAAATTATTCCAATATATTAGATATAGTAGTTATAGCAATTAACATATAAGAAACATTGCAAGTCATTGTGAACAACTTCTATAGCAAAGTTCTTCTATCATAGTCGTAGCAACATTTTGACCCTAGATTTTTACAAATTGCTGTTAAAGAACATGACACACAAAACAGGTCGCACTTCACAGGTAAGCTTCAAGATTCAGGTTTATCTTTTTACCAGTGATTTTAGTAATTTCTTTGAGTCTAACACTCATCACAAACAAAATTCTCATAAGCTCTACTCTTCTCCAGATGAACCCAGAATCCCCTCACCCTCACAGCTCCCTCTGCCACCACGATAGTCCAAGTCCCCTCATCTTCAGCCTCAGTTACTGCAGTACTCTCCAACTCTTCATCTTCATTCCAGTCTTGCTCCTTGCAGAACAGTTCTTTGGGTGGTGTTGGACCGTCCCAGTTCGTCCCACCCCTTTCACTTGTAGTCCTCAAGAATAACTGTAGCGTGTGCTGGGAATGCAACATCCTGAGATGGAGGGGTAGGGGAAGGGGAATGGCTTGAACAGCCCAGGCTCTGTTCCAATCCCTTCCAGAAACAGGATGTCCTTCAACACTTTACCC